GTGTGTTTTATATTGTTAAGATTACACCCAGTGTTAATAATTCGTAGTAGATTTCCCACCTCAGTTAGGAAAGCAGTGGTCCTCAACTGAGGTCCTTGTAACATTACTTGGGATCCACACAAAAAAATAGCAAGTTGAGGGCCCATGGTAATATTTTAGTTTCCATAGAGCAATTTCACTTCAGAATGGTTGATACAACTGAGAATAGGAATTTCTATAGTAATCTATGTCATATTAAAATGTTAAAAATAGAAAAACAACTCTAAAACTAGAAGAAAATGTGATTGAATGATGTAAATTAGTTTCCTTTTTACTCTACCAGATGTTTTAATTGTAAAAGTTGAATAAAACCTGTAAAGGATATTTAAAGGAAAGATTATATATGTAAAGGAAAATTATATAAAGATTATAATTTATTATACAGTGTAACCCGGATATAAGAGAGTTGTTGGGACCGGAGAAGAAGTCTCTTATATCCGGGTTTCTCTTATATCCCAGTTTGGTCTATTTTATATACATTAACACAGGCTCTAATTTGGGACCAGAGAAAATCTCTCTTATATCCGGGTTTCTCTTATATCAGGGTCTCACTGTATAAATAATAATATTAATTTTAAATATTAATAAAATTAAATATTAATATAAATTAATATAGTAACAGACTCCACACTGTGAAAAGAGGTGATCTTTGACTATCATTGATATCAATGGAGCCGAATATAAAAAAAACTTGCAGAGAAGCATCACCCACAGGGATCTCATTGAATAAATTTGCACTTTTCAAACATTTATTAATTCCTCACATATTTTAAAATGGTTATTTTATTAGTGTGCATAAATGTTCCATATGTTGTCTAAAAGTGGTCGATGGGTCAACAAAAAGGTAGAGAACCTGTGGTGTTGAGATTGAACAAATCCAGTGAGAAGACTATACTTGGTCTTTCTCTCCCTCTCTATTTATACATACCTTCTGAATTCATTTTTTATCTGTATACAATTGGTTTGCTATGAGTAAGAAGATTTAGAAAATTTGACACTCACATGGACATGAGGGAAGCAGTGTATAATGTAGCTAATGAGCTTGTGTAAATGATTGGCTGAACAGTGATATGGAAAGATAGCAAAAAGAGAAACTAGTAGATAATAAACTCATAATACATCAAATAGTTATTTTAATACAAATAATGTTATTTTATAGCAACAATAAATTTAAAATAGAAGTTGTATTTTAAGGATTATTTTCTGTCATTTTTCAGACTTTTGAATTGAGAAGCCATTTAATATTGACAACAATTAGTTATTATGATATCTGACAATGGAAAAATGTTTTATTGCACAACAGAAGATTGATTTTTTTTTCTCTTTTGCTAGATACTATGAAATTACATTGTTTATTTACGTATAATTATATTTCTTTCTGTTATTGTAGCAATCAGAAATAAGATTTAATATCATATTTCTGTTGATATTATTTAATATTAATTTTTTTATTTTCTCTTTGTTGCCTTGGCTTTTATATTTTTTGTTTGTTTTACAGAACCTATTATTTCATGCTGTCATTTTTATCACAATGTCTCATTAAACTTTCAGCTTTCTCCCGATCTGTTTTTTTTTTTATGGTAGATGACACTTGGAACTTGCCTTAGATGTTTTATTGTTAAGAGTCAGACCTTTGAAGCCAGAAACATTTAAGATATTTTTTTTATCAGGACCCAAAAAACAAAACCTCAGTTATTGATTCTCGGTCTACATCCATCAAATTTTAACACTGTAAAAATGAAGTGTTTATAATTGAGTCCAATGTTTTTTTCCTATTCTTACTCAACAATTTAAAATTCAAATTAGTTTATGAAACTACTACATTTATTATTGGGCTACAGATATTATTTATTAGGCTATTAGGCATATATTATTTATTAGGTATGTTTGGGGATTGTTTTTTCATTTCTGCAAGTTTAGTTGAAGACCAACGAAATTCTGATCATTTGTGAATATCTATGCTGATGATACAACAGTATATAGGTGGATCTCCAAAACTCTAGATGACCAGTGGTTGGCAGGTGATCCCACCTCTTAGCTCTAACATCACTGTAAAGGAAAAACTAGCTGGTTACATTCAATGCCTTGGAAACCAAGCTAATTACATTCTATTACTGCTGATCAAACCCTGAACTATCACCAATCATGATGAGTGAATGTTCCCTCAGGGAGGACCTGTATTTGAACAACTATTGTGTATTAAAATAACCCCAGACTTCAAGTGGAACTTTTATGATCCATCACTAAAGATGCTGGAAAAATGGTTGGTTCTCTGTACTGCTCCAATAAGTATTTGACTCCTCATGCTATCCTCTACCTTTACATGAGCCAGATCAGGCCTAAAAAATGGGGTACTACTGCCATATATGATCAGGATCTTCACAACCCTCACTTTTTAGTCTTGCATCCTTGTGGGTGATGAATCATTTTCCACCCTAGAACACTTTTCTCAAAGATGTATCATCATAAGCCTCTTGGTGCTCTATTGCTGTTCCCATGAAAAATTCACAGGTGAATTACATTCCTTAGTTCCACCAATTCTAACCTTCACGACTAAGACCTACCCTGCCCTTGCCCATTGTAGTGAACCACTCTCATTCCCTTTGTATTCCATTGGTGAAATGTTAGTTTCACTCAAAGAACTTCTTCCCAAGAACTGCTGCTCTGTGGAACTGAATCCCAAATGGGTGTTTTCCTGATCATTATAATCTTAACCTGTTCAAATCTGGGCTTGACCATTATATTCCCATATATCCACCTAAACTGTGCCTCTTTCTGTGTAACGCACTTTCTTGAGTGGCTCCCAGGCCTTGTACAGGGTGAACATCACTGATAAAAAAAAAAAGGATCCTTTCAAATTTTCATTTTATTTTTCTATGGTTTAGACCATTTTTCTGGTTTTTGGTGAGAATTTGAACATAAATTGACCAATGTTTTTGATCAGTGAAAAAAATGAAGAGTTTTCAAATAATTGTTTACTACTCAACAATTTTAATTTCAGGTCAGTGAAATATGACACATTTATTATTATTTATTAGATGTCCTTGGGTATCAGGCTTGTAGCCATAATATGTTGAAACACAGATACTTGTATGATCACCAAATTTATGCAAAATTGACCCTGGTCAGTACCACGATGGGCAACTACTTGGGAATACCAGGTGCTATAAGCTTGGGTATGTGATTGGTGTAATGCATAATGACTTGGAATTGAAAATCAGAGAGCCAAGTTCTAATTCCAATCAGGCTCATTATATTCATTTACTTGCAAGTAACTTTGAGAAAGGTATGAATTTACCTCTTATCCCCTCTCCGACAATAGATTAACTACTAGGACTTGTTTCAATCATATAATAATTATGCATGTCTTTCTCATCATTATTTTGCCTGACCATTACACCCTGCCAATACATCATAAATAATGGACTATTCCATTTTGATTACATGGAAAGATGAAAGAGATATCAAAGACGCTACTTGGTTTCAGTGGGAAAAAAGAAAAGAAAAGAAGATAGAAGTGTTTAACATCTCTTGCTAAAACCTTATAAACAAGGTACTATTCTGTTTTGTTCACATTAGAAGATCATAGACATATTAAAGATGCAACTTGACTTTAGTGAGAACATAAAGAAAGGAAGACAGAAGTGTTTCACATCTGTTTCAGTGAATTGGAAAAAGTCAGTTTCAAATCTTTTCATTTGTACCTCCAAATTTCTTAAAATAACAACCAACATTCATATTTATGATTATTATTGCAATATTTTGTTAAAGTTGTTAAGCTCAAATATTTAACGATGTGATAGGGGAATTTCTACAGATATTTTATTGTTAAAGAACTTGCCATGAGCTTCTTCAATCATTAACTGAAGAATTAAGATTCATCAGAAATCTAAAATAGGAAAAACATGTTATTTTCACAGGTTAAACCTACCAAATCAATATTGTTGGCAAAAAAATTTTTACTATCTAAAAATATTCCTCTGGCTTGAAATAACATGGAAAAGGTTGATAAGCCATAAAAAAAAGGATGAATTAATCAACTTCATGTTGCAATTTCTCATTTTTGCAGGTTTGGTTGAAGAAGTTCTTAAAAAGTTTTTCAAACCATTTTTGGGTTTTCTGGTGAGAATTTGAATGTGAATTGACTAATGTCTTTTGGGTACTTTTGGTTTTCACCTGCCATCATGCGAATATGGGATATTTAAACAAAAAATCAATTTTTTATAATATCAGCTGACATTAAGCATACACATAGGTGCAAGTCTCTCCATACAAAAATAGAAATCTTTGATAATGACTTAAGAAAGTTGAAAGCACTCACAAGATACAGAACAATTGATGTTTAAATTCTCCATGGAAACAAGAGAAATGTTCTAAATCACAGGAAAATTAAACAAAATAAAACCCCCTAAAACAAAGACTGTAATCCATCACACCACCTAATAGGAGTTGACATGCCGTTAAATCCAACATCCATCCATCCATCCATCCATCACACCACCACCAACACATCTAAATTTACAGTACCTGGTATTCCCAAGCGGTCACCTATCTAGCTACTGACTAGGCTCAATGTTGCTTAATTGAATGAGAACTAGTGTTTATATGTGATATGGCCATTTAAACCAAGAATGGCTACAAAAATGTCAATGTGAGTCATGTCAGGTTTTTTTTTATGCTTGCTTTTTCTGAGTTTACATATTGGAAGTGATATCATATTTTGTTTATCAGTCAGTCTGTCTGGGATGGTCATGTTGTGTAATGGATAGCTGTTCAGATGGAGAAAGCAGAGTCAAGGTTGAATTCCAGTATGTGTTTGTTATATTCACTTACATGCAAATAACATTCAGAAAGGTATGAATCCATTTCTCCCCAAATATAGGTTAAATAGTAGGACTTGTATCTGGAAAAATCATTGTTATTCTTCAAAAATTGTTAATGCAATATTTATTCCACTTACAGCCAGATCACATTGAAACACCAGTTCCCATATAATCACTGAAGTTAAGCAACTTCAAGCTTGGTCAGTACCTAGATGGGTGACCACTTGAGAATATCAAGTGCTGTAACTTTAGAAGTACTTGGATGTAACAATAATGGCTCAGAATTGTTAATTGGAGAGCTGAATTCCAATTCCCGTTGTGTTCATTATATTAACTTACATGGAAATACTCTTAGGAAATGAGAAAGGTATGACTCTTTGTATTCTCTCCCCAGCTATGGGTAAATTAGTAGAAATTGTATCACAAAACTATTCTTCTTTCTTCTTTTATGTGCTATTTCTCTTCAGGATGTAGGTGATCGTGGCTCTCCACTTCTCTTTGTCTCTATCCCTATTATCTCCAAAAAAATTTCTTACAATCTAAAAATATTTTCTGGATTTTAATAGCCTGCAAAGGGTTGATAAGCCATAAATAAAAATCAATCCATTAATCAATCAGTTTATCTATGAGTTCATGTGACATGCCATGAACGTGCTTTGGAGATAATCTCATATACAATAATGATAAGCTAGTAATCAGATGTGAAGTATTTATATGTAGATTTTTTATCTAAGCATTGCTATATATTTTACAAGTAAATATGAATATGTTAAATATATGGATGTATGGGGGTGGTCACTGAAAAGATTTCTTGCAGTCAAGAATGAGCTGAAGCCATGAAATTGCATGCTGTTACATATATTCACTTTGCAATTCAACACACTTAGCACGTTATTTCCAAATTTTCTTCCAAAATTAATTTTGATATTTGAAAGAGGTGTATTGAAAGAGATGTCTTTATGCCTGTTATATTTCAGCTCAAACATTTTTTTTTTCATCTTTTATATACATTCTATTTAGAATTTTTTAAATTCACATATTTCTATTAAATTTTTTTGTTATTTTAATATATTTTTTTATTATGGCTATTATGGTAATGTAACTTTTGGGACACCCTCTATATATAAAGGGTGTGATGGGTAAATGGTTGCCATTTTATATTTTTAATTTTGCACATGTGCATTGTTTGTTTTTGATTTTGTCAATTGCAAATTGTATTAGGATCAGTTGGGTACCATCTGTGAGAAAAAGAGCCCCATGACATAATTCACTCCACCAGAAATTTGGAAATGGCATGCTGTACTGTTTGGTATTCATACCAAAATCTCCAATACAAACATTTCAGTGTTTGGGTATCAATCTGAGGACATTGCAGAGGATTCAGAAAGAGTTGGATGAGTTTAAAGGTGATTATGAAGGTACAGTAGCTTCAAAAAATCACTCTGATCATTCTAATAAGAAAAGAACTCCTGAATTTTTTGGTGAGGGAATCAGACTCAACACGGAGACCTACATTAAGTGCTTTGGGAAAGTAGTGCTGCCGTGAGTCAAGAGGGTGGCTGCTGGAAGACCCTATGCCTGGCAACAGGTCTCTGCACCATACCACACAAGCAGGAGAACCCAGTCATGGCTATCAGACAATTTCTGTGATCAAGTCACCCCTAACATCTGGCCACCTAACTCCCCAGACTACAAGACCCTTGATTAGGTGCAGTTGAGCGAGAGACCAACAAAACTCCTTGTAACACCAAAGATGAACTGAATGGAAGGATTATGCCAGCATTCACCAACTTAAACAAGGAAACTATCCAAAAGTTGCTGCAGGAGATTCCAAAGTCGTTTGGAAGCCATGATTTTAATCAATGGCGATTTTAATAAATTTACTCTTTAGTATTTCAAGATATTTTTGTGAAATTTTGGTAGATATATCTGTTAAAATGAGATATCAGTATTATTTTCATTTTTGTGTAATTTAGATGACAATTTATCCATCACACCCTATATATATATATATATATATATATATATATATTTTTTTTTTAAAAATTGATGGATATTTATTTTTTTAATTCGACATATTTTTATTATTGCAAAGGTTACTTTTAGTTGATACCTGTATTTGAATAGACACTCTGTTTTTTTAAGTAGTTTTTATTTCATCTACCTGCTTGTGCACCAATAAAAACTTAATAAAGAAAATGTACCCTCTAACAGATAATAATATTAACACACAACCCTCAAAAAACATTCCCAGAAAATCTCCCCAATAAAGTCCAACTTCATTTTATATCTCATTGAGAAAGGACATGGACATGTTCTTTTTTAATTAGGGTGGTATTAGTGAAATCAAAGTTAAGTCTATTATCATTTTGATACAAAATGAGAGAGTTAGATTGATTGTCCAAACACAAGTCTCTCTTGTGTTCATACATATGGAATGTCTCCTATACATTTTTGCATTGTAAACAATTTATTTGCTACATCTCAGCATTTGAATTTGTGTTGGGTTTATTTTTCTTCTTAATTATATCTTTTGTTTTGGAGGTATTGGTAATGATCCTAGTATTAGACATGACTAATTTGTTTGCAAGTTTAATGAAAAGAGTGTTAGAGGGTAGGGTTATGAGTTTTGTTAGAAGTGTTATTGGTGGTGTCTATTTTTGCAGTTTTGTAAGCTCATTTTTTGCATTGAAGATAAAATGACGAGAGTAGTGGAACAGTTTGAAAGTTTTCTCAATATATCTCTCTTCTTCATTTAGTTATTCTGGACTACATATCCGAAGGTAAAATCCTATGACGAGTCTAGATTTTATTTTTTTAGTTGTGGTGAGAATAGAAGTTGATTAGATCCTTTTTGTTTGTTGGTTTATGATATATCCTAAAATCTAATTTCTCAATGTTGCATTTTAATAACATGTCAAGGAAAAGTAGAGAATTGTTTATTTCAAATTCATGTGTGAATTCAGTGGTAGGTTCAACCTTATTGAGTTTCATTATTATGTCTAATAGTTTTGTATCTTGGGTCTATCATAAGTGGACATCACAGTGAGCGCATATTGGGAATCAAGCAGACATTTGCCTTTAACTTGGGAACTCCTCATCTGTTTATGGTAATTAAGTACCTGTTGGAAGTGTATGATGGAATGGAATACAGAGAAATCAATTTGATTAAGAAAAATCCAAAAGTTTGGAGACCTGGGGTTCAAAAACCCCAACTTAGTGATATTGAGCTGAAATCCTGAAAACATGTTTGTAGGTATATCTTGATAAATAATAATTGTATGATGATGGTTGAGAGCATATGAGAGAGTGGAATACCAAGATATCAATTTTATTGAAAATACCTGAACTTTTGGGAGTCTGGGACCCCAAAACCCTCTAATTTGGGGATATTGGGCTGAAATCTTGAAAACATGTTTTTAGTCATATCTTGATAAATAATAATGGTATGATGATAGTTGGGACATCTTTGGAAGCATAGGAGGGAGTCAATGCAACGTAATCAAATTTGATTGAAATATTCAAAAATATAACTGTGCTAGAACCTTAATTTGAGTATATTTGGCCAAAGTCCTTAATAAAACCATGTTAAACATCAAATAATATTGTATTTATACACTGAAATATTTAACCAAATATGAATCATAGAATAGATATTTGGGAACAAAATTTTTTCAGTACATCACAAATATGACACTTTATGAAATCAATAAGTATTATGGTCCAAGTTCCTTGTACCACAGTGATGGTCCAAGGTTAGAAGCAATGAAAGAATAACACGAACATAGGTATGGAATACAAAGATATATTACAAAAGAAATATAATACAAAGAAGTAGAAGTATTAGTAATGACTATCAGATTTGGTGAGAGTGAACTATGTTGTCTCGACAAGTATCACTATTCCAATGTCCTTACAATATGCTCTCAATTATCTCTCCTCGTCTTACAATCTCCATATACCTCTTGAGAGGCGCAGTATTTATAATGTCAGGAATAGTCCATTATTATTATAGGTAAGTTCCCATAACACTAAGACAAGAAGGACACCAATGCCTCGTATTCATTGTTACATTTGTGAAGTGCATCCTTCAACTCTTCACAACAACTTGTTGTATGACCTTTTGCTTTGCAATGGGAACACTGTAAATGTTCATGTACTTTCAACACCATGGGTTCATTTTTGTCCCTGATTCAGTTTATGCAATCTGATAGGTTATTAAACTGGGCTAGTTTTCCTTGCATTGTTGATGTGATACTACCTCAGAAAGTTGTTGTTTGCCTTGATACCACACTCTGTAAAATTCAGCATTCCATTGTTGTTATTCTCTTCAATAAGTTCAGGACTGTGAGCAAGTACAATGTAAGCATTAGGATTAATCTCTATCCATGGACCTGATTTAACCAAAAGGGATGTGTTACAACAAAATTCTTTGTACCCTGTAACCTTTACCTTCTTACTGGAGTTAATGATGGTGAGAATGACTGTCATGTTGAGAATAATTTGGTCAGTTTTGGATTTCAGTTCAGTGTTATCAATTCTGTATGTCAACAAAATGCTATTGCTGGCATTAAGCATGACTTTTGTAATGTTATCTGTTGTAGATGTGCCTCCATGACCTGTTGGATCAGGTTTCTCCAAAGTGATCGATGTTTCTTCTTTCATTTTGGCTTGGATTTGCATTTTTGCCTGTTTCAAAAACTCCAAGGCTCTGGAAACATGGTTTGATACATCAAGTTTTGCTTCAGACCATGAATAATGCACTGCAGTTACATGATAGCATATTTTAAAGATCCAACCAAAACATTAATATCTTCGGTGGTAATAGGATCTTGGGTGGCATCTTTATGAACATCGTAATCACCATTTTTATGATTTTCTGGATGATGAATCTCTGTTTTGCAAATGGCAAGTATCTGTTGTAAAGAGTGATAAATTTTGAAACCAGATGAGATGAAGTCAGCATTGCTAGATTGTTCCTTACTGTATGTACATAGACAGCAAAATGCACCTCCCAAACCAGTGACAAAACTGTGCAGCTTTCCATCAACCATAGACATGGTTGCATTGACTTTGACAATCATCGATTTCTTGAAATGTTGAACAACAAACTGGCTGTCCTTGCTTTCTTGCTGGATATCTGCTACAATTTCACAATTTTCTCTACTTTCTTTTCCCATTAGTAGCATAATAGGGTGACTGGATGAGGATGATGTGTGGGAAGGATTTTCCCAAATCATTTCAC